GTTATTAGGCATTAGATTCTCATATGAAGCACAGAACCTAGATCCCTTGCATGCACAATTCACAAAAGGGTTTGCATTCTTATGAGAATCTAATGCTGCCTCTGATCAGACAGGAGGCAAAACTTAGGCAGTAATGTTTGTTCTCACTCAACCTGCCACTTACCTCCTGCTGTGTGGCCTGGGGACCCAATATATGAAACGCAGAAGAAACAACCTGAGATAAATTGTTAATGAGAAGGAAGTAATAAACTGGCTGGAATAGGGTTGAGGCAAATTTTGTATAACAAAGCATGAATTCCAATGAGTAGAACAGAAGTAGTTTCTATGTAGTCATACAAATATGAAACTGAACAGGAATAACTGTAAACAAAATGACCAAATGGGCTATTTTTTCCTTCTGTCTTCTCTCAATAGGATTATTAAGGTATGGTAACAATGATCAACATATTTAGTGTAAATCAATTTGAACCAACCATTGTCTGTTAAAGCATTTTTATATTTTATGCCTAAAATATAGAATGACATTTTTCACACCTCTAGAAAGAATTTCATGCTGGGTGCAGTGGCTGACACCAGTAATCCCAGCATGTTGAGAGGCTGAGGTGGGAGGATTGTTTGGGCCCAGGAGTTTGAGACCAGCTTGGGCAACATAGGGAAACCCCATCTCTACAAAAAAATTTAAAATTAGCTGGGTGTGGTGAGGCTACAGTGAGCCTCCTCCTTGCTATAGTGAGCCATGATCACATCACTGCATTCTAGCCTGGGTGACAGAGCGAGACCCTGACCAAGCAAGCAAGCAAGCAAGCAAGCGACAGAAAGAAAGAGAGAGGGAGAGAGAAAGAAAAAAGCAAGAAAGAATGAAAGAGAGAGAGAAAAAAGAAGAAGAGAGAGAAAGAAAAGAATAAGGAATTTCAGAAACAATGCATCAAGTTACGAGACATTTCTGATAGGTAAGAGTCTTCTCGTTGTCCCAAAGCTAACACCCAATTACCATGTTACAATGAATACACACCTACTTTTGCCATTTTGGAAAACATGAACATGGGGTCGTTTGTAGAATAAATCCAAAGGAACTATCTGTGGTTTTAAGAAAATGTCATCTCTGCTTTCTTGAAAGAACTGAACCTACTTTTTCTGACAAAAAGAGAACATGCTCTAATATAGGGGATTTATACTTTATTCCGGTAATAGTTCTGGGGCCTTCCTTCTCCTCTAAGCCCAAAGACCCAGATGGAAAGGATCCAGAGCAACCAAACAATGGTGCTTCTGCTTACACCCACCCACCAGTCCTTTAGTTGAGACAATTCACAGCCTGTCAGGAGGTGCAATGAAAAAATGGACATGCTCTTGAAGAACTTTTCAGTGGACAACAATAGAAGCCATAAAGCATGCCACCTCATCTGTTTAGGAGCTAGACCTAGAACCTCTAATTACCACTCCACGTCAGTATGACAAATGATTATTAAGAAAAACTTTTAATAACAAAGCTGTTTACAGACACAGAAGAACAAAATCAGAATAAGTGAAACTTGCATTGGCTACATAAGTTATATATTATAGTAATTTAAGTGAATTTCTTACCCCCCCAACTACCACGTAGTATGAAAATGATCGTGTGTGCTATCAAATTTATCAGATCTAGCTGTAAGTGACACTGAAGGGTTCACATGTGTCAAGTCGTGAAGCATGACCATCTGTACACTTTCATAACTCAGAGGGAAACCTCGTGTTTGCTGAGAATGAAGATATGGGCTCCTAGTAAACAGAAGGAAGAGTGACTGATGATAAGGAAGTGAAAATTTAGTGACCTGAAGAGAAATCCTTCTTTGGACATCTTTTAAATTTCGTATGGAGTAGTGAAGGGACAGGCCAAATGATCCATAAAAGTAGTTTCCCTGTGGTGAAAGAGTCAAGCCATTGTAAGATGATCAGTAGTGCATACAGACACATCTTTGTGCCCAAAGTTGCACATATTAACAGCTATGAGGCCAGAGGAAAACATCATAAAGCACTTGTGAAACTTTTTTATAAAAAGTACTATTTGTAGAGATCGTCTCACTATGCTGCCCAGGCTGGTCCTGAACTCCTGAGCAAAAGCGATCTTCCTGCCTTGGCCTCCTAAAATACTGCAATTACAGGTGTGAGTCACTGCACCCAGCCTCGTGAAACTTTTTTTTTCTGTCTTCAATATTTCCAGCTGACTCGTGAAACTTTTTGAAGGTAATCTACCTTTTTAGTTCTTCCCAAGACAACATATACTGAAACAGTGTTGTCAAGAGGAGAAATTGGCCAGGTGAGGTGGCTTATACCTATAATCCTGACACTTTGAGAGGCCAAGGTGAGCAAATCTCTTAAGTCCAAGAACTCCAGACCAGCCTGGGCAACATGGTAAAACGTGGTCTCTACAAAAAAAAATTTTAAAAGGGAGAAATAATGGGAAGAGAAAACCATACTCTGTAAAAAAAAAAAGAATGTCACAAAAAGCTTAGAGATAAAGGATTAAATTCTGTTTGGCAGAACTACAAGAAACAGTTCAGTAAGGACAGGTAAGAAATGAGAGTTGAGAACTAAGAAGGGTCCTGATTATGGAAAAATCCTGAATTCTCTACTGAAGAGTTTGAAATTGTAGCCTGAGAGAGATGGGGGGTTACTGAAGAAAGTAAAATGCTGCTATTTGCATTTTTAAAGATTTCTGTGCATAATGTAGGATTCCATTTATACGAAGTTTAAAAAAAAAGGCGGGGGGGGGGGCGGAAACTAATCTATAGTGTAAGGAGACAGACTAATGATTACTCTCCAGGGAAGGCAAAGTAACTGGAATAAGAGGAAGCTTCTGGAGGGGCTGGTAAGTTATATTTATTAAAATGGATGCTTGTGACATAGGTGGGCTCAGTTTGTCAAAATTTCACAAAGGTGTAGTCTTAAATATGCCCATTTATTTGAATCTAAGTTATACTTAAGAACAAGTTAAAAAGCAAAAAAGATTACATTGGCTTCGGGTTAGAGAATGGAATTGAGGAGACAGGAAAAAGATTAAAGGAGGCTGACCTGAGTGAGCAACTAGATAGTAGCAGGTGATCTAAAGCACCACGAAGGATTTGCTGGCTGAACAACTATGGAAAATGAAGGAACCAGGAGTCAAAGATGAGCTAAAGCTGCAGGTCTGAAGACTGGGGAAGAGCACAAAGACAAAGCCCTGTCCACCTCTAGCTCCTCATTTATAATGTGAGAGGCCGGGCACGGTGGCTCATGCCTGCAATATCAGCACTTTGGGAGGCTGAAGCAGGTGAATTACCTGAACTCAGGAGTTCGAGACCAGCCTGACCAGCATAGCGAAATCCCATCTCTACTTAAAATATAAAAATTAGCCAGCTGCAGTGGCAGGCGACTATAATCCCAGCTATTTGGGAGGCTGAGACAGGAGAACTGCTTGAACCCGGAGGCAGAGGTTGCTGGGAACCAAGATCACACCACTGCACTCCAGCCTGAGGGACAGAGTGAGACTCTTAAAA